ATCTAGTGTCTGACATCCGCATTGAAATTTGATTAATCTGAATTTGTGCCGACAGGTAGGACTCATTCAAACATAGCGCTTTCCATCAAACATTTTTCATACTCAAAACTCGAAACTCTAATTAAAAGACAAACAGTACTCTCACCCACCGCATTGCGACAATTGATGATCCTAAAGTGAGTTTGTTACTTGATTTTAAGTTATAAAAACGTGTTTCACTTTGAATTAAAAAAAAGTGTTGAACTCAACCCAGTTAGGTCCAAAATCTATTTGGGTTCAGACTTCAGATGTGAAATTAATATGTTTAGCATATTGTTTTAATTTATTCACACGATATTTCTTCAAGTTATCATTGCTTAAAATTTAGTCACACGATTTTTTTTCCTTCCATCATTTGCGATGACTTTTACAGTGGAATGAGACATGATTTCGAGCGAGGTGATTTAAATTGATTATTTGAGGTGTTTTTAAAATCATGTCTTATGATAAAGTGGACTAGGAGTAATTGATGATTATTTAATAGTAATATGTTATAACATGTTAAATTACATTTGTTCATTTTTAATATGAATTTAAATTCTACACATTGAAGGTGTAAATATTATTTATACGGCCAGATCACTTATTATAAATAAATCCCTTTGATAAGCCTTAATTACTAATCTGATAAAAATTACAATAACCTATACTGCATAACCCAAATTATTCTACCAGATACTTCTATGCAATATTTCCACTGGGCCATTTGTTAATATTGGTTCAGGTCCATTCATAATATTAAATATACAAAAAGTTAAGTAGTTGTTTCATTTAGCAAAAAAAATTCAGGGGTTGTTTGTTAGCTGGTTAGGAGAAATATTATATATATATATATATATATATATATATATATATTAGATTTTATATGAGCAATATATCATATTTGGTAGCTGGTTAGGACTATGTGTAAAATTAATACGGTGTTTGGTTTGTAATTTTAAAACATGTATATAACTAATACATGTATAAGTTATGAGAGATTCTCTGTATAATTTTGCGTAGGATAGAAGATGAAATTATTAATACATGAATAACTAATCACTCCATTGAATTATACATACTATTTCATAACTAATTCATGTATTGTTAATACCTGCGTAACTTTACTTAACTATCAAATGACCCTTTATGTTTTGTATATAATAGTAACTAGTAGAGTTGATATCATCAAAGGGGTGGTGGCGCAGTTGGCTAGCGCGTAGGTCTCATAGCTTCTGAGTAATCCTGAGGTCGAGAGTTCGAGCCTCTCTCACCCCAATTAACTTTTTTTAGCATTTCTTTTCAAAATAAGATCAAAACATTATTCTGTTTTACTAATAAAATGAAATTTTGAGATCGACATCTGACTTATGTTCTTCATGTTGTATTCAAACTGAATGACTCTATGAAAAAATGTCGATACTTCCACGTATTATAAGAATCTCTAGAGGTCTTTCTTCTGAATAGGTACTTATTTATCACTTTCTAAATAGAAATTTCAGGGCTTTTAGCTGCCTGCAATTTTCTTATCTTCCAACAAGTGCCGGCTTGGAATAACCAATAGAACTACTAGGATTTTGTCTCAACAATAAATATTTGTCCTTATAAGAATAAAATGTAATATCATTAAAATTCGGCACACAATATTTTAAAACCTTAAGAATTGTTCTCAAAAGTATTTAAGTTCATCTTTACACTTCACTATCTTCAGAGGCGAAGTCAGAATTTTAACTTTATGAGTTTTGATTTTATAACGATGATTTCAAGTGTTAATAACTGAGATCTAAACTCAAAATTTAATAAACTTCTTAATACAAATACACTATTATAATTTATATTTGAGCAAAAGTTACTAAGTGTAACGGAATCCATACTTGGACTTCTAGCTCCGTCCGGACTATATTCTTGTTTAATAAACTCTCTCTCACATCAAGAATTATATCTAGGGATAATATCTTTGTGCCTAGTCAAATTCCACATACTATAAAGAACCAAGAGTAATGGTAATAACTAATAAGCTACCCTTAAACTTGAAATAAATGGCCAGCATAACTTCTATAATCTCTACAACTTCATCTAAAAATGGAATTGTTGCTGATTTTACAAGCATGGAAGAAGGAAAGCATGGAACTGTTCAGAGTCCTTTCCTATCTGCTTTCCAAAAGGTAGCTACGTATAATTATAAAGTACATTCATTTTGAACTTACTGACTCTAGCTTACGTATTTGCCTCTATCTAGTAGCTCATGTTATGTTGGTCACGGTGTACTAATAGGTCGAGTTTGCAGGAACGTATAAATTGAAACATTTATGTATAATTATAAAGTACATTCATTCTGAACTCACTGACTCTAGATTACGTATTTGCCTCTATCTAGTAGCTCATGTTATGTTGGTCACGGTGTACTAATAGGTTGAGTTTGCAGGAATGTATAAATTGAAACATTTATGTATAATTATAAAGTACATTCATTCTGAACTCACTGACTCTCCTCTGCCTACAAGTTCATGTTATGTTGGTCACGGTGAACTAATAGGCAGAGTTTGTAGGAACGTATAAATTGAAACATATATGTATAATTATAAAGCACATTCATTTTGAACTTATTGACTCTAAATTACGTATTTGCCTCTGGGCTCTGCCTACAAGCTTCTGTTAGATTCATTTTTAGTCGCTAAATTAAGTAGATTATAGCAGAGTTGGTGGGAATGCATAAATTGGAACATTTACATATCATTATAAAGTATACTCATTCTAAACTCATTGACTCTAGATTCTGTATTCGCCTCTGCCTACAAGCTCTTGTTATATCATTTGCTACTAACAATTTGTTTCATTTCATGTTTAATCGCGCAATTATGCAGATTATAGCTGAGCTGTTGGGAACCTATATTTTCATATTTGTGGGTTGTGGATCAGCTCTTGTTGATAGAGAAAGGACACTCACTATTGTTGGGATAGCATTGGCATGGGGTTTATCATTGATGGCATTAATATACACTCTTGGTCATGTTTCTGGTGCCCATTTCAACCCCGCGGTCACCATTGCCTTTGCTGCAGCTCGAAAACTACCATTAATGCAAGTAAGAACTTATCAAACATCAATGAATTCTTGATTTTGCACCTACAGTATGAATCCAATGTGTGCACTACTAGTCGTGCAAGTGATAGGCGGATCTAGAATTTTAAATTAATACGATTACACCAGCTACTTTTTTATGCTAATAGTTCACACTTAGTTCTATGATAGTCCCTCCATTTCAATTTATTTGTCTGGTTTTGACTTAACAAAAACTTTAAAAAGTACATAAGACTTTTAAATTTTGTGGTCTTAAACTAAATATATGTAGAATGTACTATCAGTTATATGCACAAGGATCAGAAGCGCATCCAAGATTTGGACTTTATGAGTTTTGAATGGTAGGATATTTAGTTTTGTACATATTTAGGAGATTTATCAACACATATACAAGGTTCGGGCCAAAGTTATTGAATTTTGTCGAACTTGTAACTTAAAGCCTACATCCACCCCTGATTCTTGCAGGTACCTATATATGTACTACCTCAATTATTGGGCTCTACACTTGCAAGTCTTACATTGAGAGTGTTGTTTAATCACCAAGGTGACATACTACCAATGTTAACTCAGTACAAAAGTCCAGTCACTGATTTTGAAGCTATATTTTGGGAGTTCTTAATGACTCTCATTTTGATGTTTGTGATCTGTGGAGCTGCTACTGATGATCGAGCGGTACGTTTTTCGCGAATATTTCGTTTATTTAATCAACTAGAATGTCCTCCTAATCAGTTTACTATCTTCAAATGCAGACCAAAGAGGTAGCTGGAGTTGCAATTGGAGTGACATTAGTGTTTGAAGTCCTCATTGCAGGGTAAAATCATATCTCAAGATGTACTTGTAATGTTGTTGCACCCGTGTCGGATCCTCCAAAGCTGCGTAGCTTTTGAAGGATCCGACAGACAACCTATTTTTGAAGAGTCTGAGCAACGTAAATTCTTGACAATGAAAAGTCTAGGATGAGTAACTTATCCTGCTTCTGTACTTGATTCTATCTCTTTTCGTTCTGTTGAAGAAAGGAAAGATCCCAACGAATTGATCTTTCTTTTTGTTGTTGAATCTCTCTTTGATTAATTGATGTGTGATATTCCGATTTGGAATTTCTAACAATGTAGAGTATAACATTTTCTATAGACAAGTTTGTTACTTACTAAAAGTTCATATCTGCAGGCCAATTACTGGAGCTTCAATGAATCCAGCAAGAAGTTTAGGCCCTGCAATAGTTTCAGGTGTCTATAAGAACCAATGGGTCTTCGTTATTGCCCCGATTCTTGGAGCCATGACAGCAACTGGGATATATAGCCTTCTCCGGCAACCAAAGCAGAATACGAAAATCTGAAGAATAAGATGGATACCAACAAGTACGTAGGAGATTATGTAACACCTAAAAGTACTTGGTGAAAATACATGAATGTCAAAATGTGAGTATTCATGCTATAAGAATGCTTGCATTTTTTATTACTTAATTATATTATATCTCAACGAGACTTCAATCCCTTTCGACACATTGACTTCAAAGAGTACATCTATTCTATACAACGGAAACACACCAGTACTAACGGGTAAGAAGTGCAGAAAAATAAGAAAATCTGGACATATCACCTCATTCAATTAGAGGTTATACACAAATTTACAGCTGATATACCAGGCTATGAGAGAAAGCAACAGATATAGATTGATCCCAGGCTAAGTGTGCTGATTCATAATCCAAATGCTCAGTTGATTTCTCAGATAGTTACTCAACTAATAGTTGTTATCTCAGAAAGTCACCCTTTCTTCTCGATTCCAATATTTTCAACAAAGAAAGTGACTTTCTAAGATGATAACTATTAGTCGAGTGATCATCTGAGAAATTTCAACTCTCCAAATGCTGGCCACAACGATACACCTGTAGCAAGTGCATAAATCACACACAGGTTAAGAAAGCTCCATGAAGCTTCGACATCCTCTGGAACTAAAGTGATAACTACTACGTATCGTCTCAACCTAATGTCTGGTACAGAGAGGTAGAGGCATCGTATCTGTATATAAATGTGATACTCATGTTGATCTTCGGAGTTGCTGCTATTTACCACAATGCCTTGGTCAAGTGTACGTATTCCATAGTTCTTGCATTACATCGATATTATTGGAACTTCTGCTCTACTATCTACAACTGAATTTCTAATATCAACAGAGGTTTCTTCATCTTCATTCCTAAAAAAGGAAGATGACATGCTAGGAACAATCTGATCTTCATAACGTCGTATAGCAGTAATTGTAGGATTATTGTTCCTGACCGGTACATTATTAGCTTCCATTTCCATGTGCATAGCCTGAGGAAAAGCTATTGGGACAAACTCATCAGTGGAGTCTCCATGTCCCTCCTCCATTCCATTCTCAATAGCAGATCTTGCAGCTGCTTCAAGCTGCCACATTTGCGACAACGCTTCTTCTAGTCGCTCTTTTGCTGCAACGATTTCAACGATGGGAAAAGGATAATTGGAACCAAGCTCAATGCCAGCAGCTTGAAGTACAGATTCTGGTGCATCCCATGGGTGGTGTATCCATTCAGTGGGCAGCCTAACAAGTTCAGGAAGCCATCGTCGAACGTATTCCCCATTTGGATCAAACTTGTATCCCTCAAACTACAGTTAAGACAATAAACAATCAAGAGCAATTAAAGTTATCCATGACAGGATGAACGTGTTGAAAACATAATTAAGTAAACAAAAGGTATTCTTTATCTAGCAACTTAAACTTAAGATGAGACGGTCACACGCTTTAACATGGTATCAGAGTAGGCACATGTCCTAGGCTCGAGTCTCCGTTACCCATTATCAAAGAAAAAAAACTCCACATGCCTAACTCATGAAAAAGAATCAGGCTCACATGTGAGGGGGCGTCAACAGAATTTCTTTGTATTTGTCGGTCGGTAATTCTACTATATAGAAATTGAAAAAGTAAGTTGCAAGTATCTAACTAAAGAAAATATCCAGTGTAATCCCACGAGTGGAGTCTGGGGAGGGTAGAGTGCATGAAGACCTTACCTCTACCTTGGGAGGCAAAGAGACTGTTTTCGATAGGCCCCCGGCTCAAAGAAAATCAATTCAAAGCAAATCGAAAAAAAATGACGAAGTGAAGAAGATATACTATAGAGAGCATAACGAAACAGTCTGAAAAAAGGAACAGTAACAACAACAAAATACTACGATTATAAGGAAATACCTGTGGATTATCAATTCCAAGGAACTCACAACCATCAGGTAGGGTACCGGTAATAAATTGCCAACCAAGAGCATCACTCTCGAGATCTGCATCTAACAGTGTGTCCCAGAAATACTTCATTCCCCATGTCCAAGGAAGCTGCAGAACCTTAACAGAGAAACTAGACACAACAACTCGAATACGATCATGTAGCCAGCCAGTGGCCCAAAGCTCTCTCATACCTGCATCAACCAAAGGATAACCTGTTCTACCTTGCCTCCACGCCTTAAAATAACCCTCGTCTACTAACCAAGGAAAGTACTTTAGCTGACCAAGCAATGGCCTTTCATGACTGTAAGGATGATAAAAGCTCATGTATCTCGAGAACTCCCTAAGGCCAATGGACTTGAGGAACAAGTTGACGCTCTCTTCACCTGCTTTGTTTCCTTCATTAGCCCAGAGAGTTTGTTTAGTACGAATACGGTGGAATACCTTACGAACACTGACTTCACCAAAATGTAAACGCGGTGACAGAAATGAGGTTGTTGCACTATCAGCTTTACTACGATTCTTGGAATACTCAATCAATGGTCCATTAATGAAAGTAGTGAGTGCCTTATCAGCATTGCTCCAACCAGGAGACCATGCTCGAGCAAGAAGTGCATTGCTTCCTTTCTCTAATTCACTCTCAAACACAAAGTTATCTGAAGGGCATCTTGATGCATCACCTGAAAATTCCCCGAAATAAACAGTAGAGTACTCAGTCAAACTAAAAAGGGAAAAATTGCAGTAGGTTCTATCTGATTCTTAGCTACATCAGTGGAACAAAATGGTGAATGTGCATATAACATGATCACGAATAATATACAAGACGCGCAGATGAGAACAAACCAGATATTATCCTTTTAGGTGGAAGAAGTGGAGCTTCAGGATCATAAGGCATGGTAAGACATTTTTCCCAAAAATCAGAAAATGTGCTGAATGGACGGCCTTCATCATCGATAACTTCCCATGGTTCATATAGCAAATCAGCATTGAAAGAACACACAGATACACCTTCAGCTGATAAGGTTTCCTTTGCGCGATTATCCCTTACAAGTGATATCGGATCTAAAGCAAAAGACAATAAATGCAAGTGTTATGGAAGACAATACTTTGATTATAAACATTCTAATATAACAAATCCACATTCACAAGCATATATGATCAAGTATTTCAGGATACCCCTCTTTGTTAAATTACAAATTATACAAAAACACACGAAAAATGATGTGCTTATTGTCCGTTCTAAGACAAGCCTGTACGATTTTCCCCAAAAGGCCTAACACCATTAAGATTGTCTCACACATTAAGTAGCTTCTTTGATCTCTTCTACTTTTCATGTGGGACTTTGTTCGCACATATCCAACAACCACCAGCATACGAGCAACCAAAAACAGGGAAAATATAACTTATATACTACATCAATTACAGAGGAAGTGAAACATAATATAAAGTAATGAGAAACGCTCAACACCAAACTACTACTAAGAAGTGAAACATAACAAACCATACTGAGTAGTAACTACAACAAAATAATACGATAAGCAACAAAATCGAAGGACAAGAAACTACATGAACAAAAAACCAACAAATAGGAGCATGTACTAATATAAAAAAAGCATAACTAACCATATAAATGATTGAAAAAAACCCGAGTTGCACCGGTAGATTTCACAAGTTGAAGAAGAGAAGAAACACTATCATTAGATCTCTTTGTAATGAGTGAAGTGCCAAGTTTCTTCAAAGATGAATCAAGATGAGCCAAACTTTTCTTAATCCACCATCTTGACACTCTTCCAGGACAATAGTATCCTTCTTCTTCTGGTGCCCATATAAACACAGCAATCACTGATCCTGCTCTCACTCCAGCAGCCAGTGCTGGATTATCTTCCAGCCTCAGATCCCTCCTAAACCATACTATACTACAACCACCACCTGACATCTTTTTTTTTTCCTCAAGAACCTCAAAATGTTACCAACAATGTGTCACCTATCTTAACACCACCATGCTAATGTGTCTTTCTTGGACAGCAGTGAACTAGGATTAGTCTTATCCCTTTATTGCTATACATGTAACTTTCACTAATGAATAGGATGTTACAAAGAAGGGAATAAGACATAAGCAAACACTCAAATTTAGCCTCGGATGGTAAGTAAGCACTCTAACTTTGACAATGAACATCTAGACGCCTCAACTTTGTCTCGACTAACAACTGAACACTCCAACTCATCCTCACAGTGTCTTGTGGATACTTGATGCTGATGTGACACATAAATTTGGAGGTGTCTAGATGATCAACTATCAAAGTGGAGACGAGTTGAGGTGTCTAGATGTGCATGCTCAAAATTGGAGTGTTTTTTTTTTTTCTGTATTATGCCGACAAAAAACACTCCAATAGGGTGGAGTCGATCAGGATTTGAAGCTTATTGGCTCGAAATCTAGTTTTTTCTTTTAAGTTAATAGGCTCTAAAATAATAATTTGTATATATTCAATAATTTATTAAGACAATTAGACAAACAAAGGGTTTGGACCAAAACTATTGAATTCGAACGAACTTGTAACTTGTAAGCTATACTCTAGGTCCGATCCACCCCGACAATCCAATATGGTATCAAAACAAACAAAGATCTGAGCACATATTGAGGCTCAGTATAATTAAATAATTTAAAATATATTTTCTTCAATAAGATTAATGGTTCAACAACAAACAGAAAAAATTGAACTTTTTGAAGGATGAATTTAGTAAGATAGCTGTCTAACACAACTTAATTCTCCCACTTGGGTAACCCCTATGAAAGTGATTGGTTAAACTAGTGTGAGTTGGAAGAAACTGATGGCCAAATTGCAGCCACAATTTTTTTTTTTATTTTTAATTTCATTTTATATTTTGTTTCTTATCCTAGGTAGAAAACAAGGCCAATTACTCCCATCAAGCTTTCTATAGTGCCTTGAAAAAAAATTATGGTTTTAAAGATCGACTTTTACATTGCCGATTTCAAGTCTGAATAAAAGAAAAGCATTGTGGAGGACTAAGGTTGTATACATTTTATCGTTTTTAGAGTTCCCTTGTGAAATTATACTGAGTATATTATTGTTGTTGTTACATGTATAAAGTGAGTCGAGTAGATGTTGCTTTTTATAAGCCAAATAGAAAAAATAGACACTCCTACTTATACAGGATTGTATGTATTCCCGAACATCTTTAACTTAACGAAAGTTTCATCCAGACACTTGTTGAGTATTAATTGCCCTGAGTTTCTTACCATAAATAGGATTTCCTTTTAGGCAAAGGTTTAAAATTTAACTAGTCATTTTTTTGTAGGAAAAGGTTTAGGACTCTATAAATAAAGGTTTGTTCCTTCTAACTTCATCATTTACAATGTAGTCCTAGAGTTTTGAGAGTTTTGGTTATGGGGAAGAATTTGTGAACCTCATTGTATTCCGAGTGAATTGGTTGAGGTTATTTCTCTCTATATTTTATGCTCTCATATTTATAAAGTGGATTGCTCATCTCATGTGGACGTAGGTCGATTAACCGAACCACGTTAAATCTTTGTGTCTTTTGGTATATTTCTCACTTATCTTCTTACTCATGGTCTTTTGAAGTTTGTTTTGCTAGCTTCCGCATGACACTTGCTTATTTCGGTCCTAATAACACTATGACTTGATCAAAATAAGTGTTAGTGTTATGCTACCATATACGTCATACTCACAATTGATTTGGAATATCTTTTAAATATAAATGGTACCAAATCTTAACAACTACAATCCACCATAAATAATTAATTGAAATACTGTAATGATGGGATGAACAATGAGTGAAGGCGTTGGGAAATTTTAGACTTATATATATTTATATATATAAAAGTTCATCTCTTTAAAGTTGTTTGTCATTTGTCAATTTTGATTTGGCACAAAATATAAGAAAATAAAGAAGATTTCTAATTTTTTTTGTAATTTTAAATTAAAGATATGTCAAATGCATCAAAATGTTATTTAGTTTTATAATTTTAAACATGTCACGTGGAAGTTAAAATTAAAAAAATAAATTAAAAGGAATGAATCATGCCTTTTTAAACAAGCTATAAAGAAAAATAATCAAACAGATTAAAACAAAGAGAGTATTGAATTAACTCATTTTTTCTTAATATGTAATTATAGTAAACTAGTACAACATATATATATGTAAAAAAATAAAGAGTGAGCGTTAATTGAAGTAGGTTCTCCACTCCTCATATTCAAGGTCTCTTATGTTGGTTGGTGATACTAGATAACAGTACATATTAGTAGATAAATGCTATAAATTTCTTCAAAAAATTATATATATTTTATGTATAGAGGTAGAGTGGAATTTTAAAGTTTATGAATTTAAGTTTTTTTTTTTAATTTAAATTATTGAGATCTAAAATAATAATTGATGTATATTAGTAAATAAATTTATTTAACATATACATAAAATTGTAATAAAAATTATTGAATCCGTGCAATTATGGAAAAATCTTTTTGGCCAGAAAATTTGATCAGAATGATATTTTATCTATGTTATTTTACCTTTTTAATCATTTTTACTCTTTTAATTTTAATACCTTTTAACTAAAAAATGGAAAAAAAAGATAAATTTATTTTTAAATAAAAATAATATTATAGTATTTTTAATTTTCTGACCAAATTCTGATTAAATTTTCTAGCCATTTAGCACTTCCCTCAGATTATACAACGTAAATTCTAGTGAAGTAAATCAACAAATTAAATGATTCTGATATTTTCCTCATCTCGAAGTTTGTAAGATTATTTTACTCATGTCGAAGTGTGTAAAAGAGAAAATACTACACAACTTATGACGGTTTGGTTCAAACAAATACCCACATTTATTAAGTCCATTTTACTCCCAATTACTAAGAGTAAAATAACATAAATTTAGGAGTAAATTTTTTTTTAAAATGCAAGCTTTTAATATTATGAACCTTATTAGAATTTGAATTTTAAATAAATATATATGACTTGTCAAGATGTATGATGTCAAAATAAAGTATAATTTGTTCTAGACATACTGTCTCCAAGTGAATTTGTATGTGTCTACTCACTTCTCCTTATGTATTTATATTTCAGAATGTATCTTGAATGTATGTAATACCTCATATACTTGCAAATCACGTTTAGAAGTAAATTACTTTCTTTTCTGGGAGTTTTCAATATCACGAATCTTACCAGAAATTAGACTTTAGATATATGTATATGGTGTGTTCAGTTCTATGTATCTCAGCTATGTGAGATCAAAAATAGGTATAATTTGTTCCAGATACATCGTATCCAAGTGGATTCGCATGTACCTCTCTCCCGCTTCTTCCTATGTATCTGTATTTCACTATGTATATGGTATTTTATATACATTTATCTAGCGTGATTCACATATATCTGAGATACATATATAGATTATCTTTCTCGCTTCTCTCCCTATTTTAGTGTATTTAGTAGCAGAAATATATGTATGTAGATGTATTTGACTTAAAATTTGATATAAAATTATTAATTAGTGAAACAATGCATAATTATTTCAAACAATAAAAATATTTACTAATAAAAATTATAAAAATATTTATGTAATTAAATAGTTTTTCGTTAATTAAGGATATGATTACTAAATAAAAATTAAAAAAAATAGGTAAACGGTCAACCCAATCATTTATTTTTCATTTCTCAAGACTCAAGAGGCCAGCCTTATTGATTATATGGTCCTTCTCTTATATCACAAAAATAAATGCAGTCCAAGTCCCAACTAACTCCTTGTTTGGCTATAATGGAAAATTAAAATATATGTTTTTTGGATTTATCTCTCATTGTAAAGGCTACACCTTCTACCTTCTTCTTCCCTCTTTTGTTTTCCAATTTTCCTCACATAATTAGGGCAATATTAGCAACTTAATAGCTTACTGATCTCGTTGATTATATAATTGTGAGGAAACGTGTCATATTAGAGGTCTAATGAAAAACGTTGAAAAGAATTTCCAAATATCAATGGCCTGTTTGGCTGTAGTTATAGTATTTATAGGTTTGTACACTCAATCTTTAAACAAAATGATAGTCACTTACTTTATTGGTATTTTAGGGATCCTTGGTGTGTTTTTACCTGATTGGGAGTCCTTTGATCAAAGTGTCTCGCATTGGGGCACTCCTTTCAAAGTGGATGAGTTCACCGCTGAGTCTTGCAGATCGGTCAGGTGATTGAAAATCTTCGTTTTGAATTTAAGTTATATACGTTCATGATATAAATAAATTATCGGATTATAATATGTTGTTATATCGAACTGACTTATGATAGTTAACAATAGTATTTATTGTATATGTCAATGAATATTTAGGTTGTGAAGTATTATTAGTGCTTATAACTTAAAAACTCTTTTCTTCTTTGCTAATAAACGGCTAAGAATATTGTACTCGCAAGCAAATTATAGTATTGTGCTTTGGCAATCAACTAGGAAAAATAATTTGTTGTGAATACATGAAATGAATTGTCAAATAATTAGAGTTTACATTTTATCCACTAAAAGGTGTAAATGACTTTTACTCTAATTAGATAATTTAATATATATGCTTAAAAAATTGAAGTTAAGTGATTATGCTAGTTAATTAGTAGCTTAGAAAAGATGACATTATTAGCTATTAGATCTAATCTAACTTTGTTAAACATGTAATTATAAGTGGATATAACTTGTGGAAATGATCGGACAACATTGGTGGTGGGAATTTTCAATTCCTTCCGTTTATTTTTTTCACCTTTTCGTTATCTTTCCCTTTGATATTAGGTCACCTGCGTGGTTTTGTTATTATATTCCAACTTGAAATGTTTTGCTATTTATATGTAAAATTGACGGATATTTATACTTTCTTCCCACTCCAGGATATCATTCTTTTGAGTAAAAAAATTTCAGTTCAAATTTTTGGATCTTAACTTTAGTGTGTTGAAGTATTAGTTTTTTTTAGTTCACACTAAATGTTAGTTTGTATTGTTTCAATTGTAAGAACGGAAAATTCACTCCTTACAATCAAGGACTCTAAGTTGATGATTTGTCATCAAATAACGTATTGCACATTAGTTATTGAATATTATTAACTCCTTTAAAAAATTATAAAATACTTTGTAATAATACAATATATTCTAAAATTTGATTTTCGAGGGAAGTGAATCAACAAATGATTATGTACAATTGTTTTATTTGTGGCTTTTGACATGTGCTGAATTTATTTTACTTGTTTTTATTTGTAGGTTTAGATTTTATCCAGTCAGAATGGCTATCTTCACAATTTTATATGGATTTGGTGTATACAAGTGGTGGATGTTTATATCCACTCAATAAATTCACATTAATGCACCTATATTTGGTAGTTTTTTTTTCTTTTTTTTGTTGGGTGTGTGTTTGATTTTAGAATCTTTAGATTAAGAGTCAGACTGCAAATAAAAACAAAAGAGAGGAATTGTCCCTTTATGTATATATAATAAGTAATTTTCGACATATTTAATTAATATTTGTATTATTATTTTTTGTTTAATCATAGATATCTCAAATTTATAGTCCAATTAATTTAGATTAAGACAAAAATAAGTGACACTTCAACTTCTGGTGAATTCAACTATTTATCATAAGAAGACTCATATAATGTGGAATCAATTTAGGGAATTAAAATTTGTAGTATAAATGACATAGAAATAATAACACCAGCAAAAATCTAATTTTTTTATATTTTTTTTACCTTTAAATAAACTTCTAAGTTCTAACATACACAACTTTTTCCTTTTCTTCAATACCGAGAAATTAAAGCATATGAGCCTTCAACCTCAGGCATGATTAATTAGCATTTTCCTGCCAAATTAAAATCCAATATAACATCAATATACAATGTAAATGCATAAAATGATGAACTAAATATATAAAGTAACTTTTACTCCCTCCGTCTCAAATTATATGTTGTTATTTTTTTTTTCGAGATTCAAATTATGGAATTTTAATTAATATTTAAAAATGTATAATCTTTTATAATATTGACATGAGAAAAATTGTAACTTATCGTAGGATGTATATATATTTTTTTTCATTCAGATTTTGATTCTAAAATATTACATGATTCTAATCCAATTATCTTTAGAGATTAGTATAATCGACTCCCAAAAAGAGGAAAGCGATACTTATTTTGAGATGGAAGAAATACTATATTTTATATATATATGAAACTCTTTATAATAAGTGTAATTTTGGATTGTGAAAACTGAAAAGTAAAGTAATTAGCTTGGTTACGGCTAAATGACCTAATAATAATAAGAAAATCTAAACACAAAACTTAATACTCTATCTATTTGAATTTAGTAGTCTTATATTTTTTACTCTTTATTTTCAAACTTTCGACATGATATGTTTAAAAACCATAAGATTAAATGATATTTTGATACATTCCACATATCTTGAATTTAAGATCATAAGATTAATTCAAAAGTCATTTGTACTTCTTAAAACTCCGTATCAAATTAGAACCAGACAAGCAAATTGAAATGGAGGGGAGTAGTGATCTTTTGGGCACATAAATTACTAGTTTGAATTTGAAGAGGGGAGAAACACCCTCTGAGTTTGAAGGAAGGCATTAGCCAGTATCTTCCCAAGTTGGACTTGTGCTGGAGTTGTAAGATGCAACAAATCTGGCCCAATTGGAAGCCCTTTAGCATCTACACATCTCACATTTGGAAGATTAATTCCCAATTGAGCTTTTCTAATCACTTCCATATATGGCCCTGGTGCTGTTGCCAATGCCACCTACACCCACAATAACCAACACAATTACTCAAAGTCTTTATAGTTTGATTGTGCATGACGTTTTCTTCTGTTTGGCTATAGATTTTGAAGTTGAAACTTAAAGATTCGAGTTTCTGTAGTTGTGAGTTTTTGAACTTGAAATTATATCTGGACATACATTTTACTTTGAAAAAAATTATTTTTTTGTGAAAGAAAGTGAAATTTCTCCAAAAAATTAGATGAAAATATTTGAATACTAGATTTTTGAAATCTGATCAAGTTTCATGGTCAAACATATATTTAAGGTAATTTTTCAAAATTTGATTCAAAATCTATAGTCAAACGCTAACTAACAATATATAAAAGACTTTTGAATTATATAATCGCGGATAGGGGTGTTCACGGGTCGGTTTGGATCGGTTATTGGTCAAAACCAAAACCAAACCAACTTAATCGGTTTTAAAATTATCAAAACCAAACCAAACCAAATATAATATACATTTATCGATTTGGTGGTTATCGGTTTTGGTTTGGTTTGGTTCGGTTATTCGGTTATTAACCATTACAAAAATAAAAGAAACAATTCATTCAAAATGTGAAAAAAATGACAACAATTCATTCAAAACGAAAAATAGTTAGAATGACTTAAATTACTGAACTTTCGATCACTAAATTTACTATCAATAAAGTTTTAAAATTCACTATATTTGTCTAGAAGGAAGAGACAATAACATTTTCAGTCCCACAAAGAATTGTCATAGACACTCATATAATAAATGTTTCATCTTGGGCATTTTTGCTTTCAATAAGTAAATTATAAAGAAATTTTAATGCAAATATGTATAAGATCTTTAAAATTGTTTATAAAAATAATATATTAAGTATGTATATTAATAAAATATATGTGTATAATTCATCGGTTCGGTTATTTCTTCGGTTTTTCGAATAAAACCATAACCAAACCAAATACTATCGATTTCAAAAATCTAAAACCAAAATAAAATCGGTTTTATTTTATCGATTTTTCGATTTGGATCGGTTTTTATCCAAACCATGAACACCCCTAATCGCGGATATTTATATACAAAATATACATCCTTTTATATTGGTCTTTCATTATGTCATATCTAAGGAGGTGCCGTTAAGGGCAAAACAAGAATAGTGGAATTAAAAGCCTACTAAATACTAAAAACGAAACAATCTTTTTAAACAAATTAAAAGAAGAGTAAGACATTTAAATTGAAACAGACAGAATATATAGCATAACTTAGTTAAGATTATTTCTATTACCTGAACAATAGGGAGTGTAGGTAGCTCCAAATCCTTACGAACATCTTTAAAGAATTTCTTCAATCTACCTTTATACAATTTAGCATCGTCAAGATCAATTGCATCACTCTCCCCTTGGTACCACAACATCCCTCTTATCGTCCCTCCACCTTGTAACGCGACCTTAGTCCTCCTTATCATTTCGTTATAAAGCCATCCACCGCGCACCCATTGAGTAATATTTGTCCCTCCTATCGCGCAGGGGACCAATCCAATCACTCCAATATCCGGGTCATCCATTTTGAGTTCATTAGCAAATGACATACCCGGCCCAACCCCACAAGTTTTATTCACATCTATGTCTTTGTGCAAGGGCTCGTGAGCCTCAACCCATGTAAGTCCTCCGTTGAGTTGGAGGACTGATGGATTGGGCTGACATTCAGGCGGAACAATACCATCCCAAGTCAAATTAACCATACCTGATGAGCTGGTCTGATTAAAGACTCCACCACGCCCTGACATGTTGCTTTGTCCAGATAAAATGAAAATGTTCTTTGCGATTGAATTACAACCATTGGTTACATTCGCGGTGGCTACCCACCGCGAATGTGACAAAAGCATCAACAGTAGAAGGGGAAGCATTGTTTTTTTTTTTTTTTTTTGTAGAGCATGGATTAAATTTTTGGAAATTAAAGTCTTTCTTATAGACAAAAAAAAGAGACTACGAGGAAAGCACGGGGTGTTAATTAATTATCACATTAAATAACAGTATTATTGATTTAAGACTACAGGACAAAACCTTTTTAGCTGTACATGTTTCAACAGTCCAGTCTTTGACATGTTCGTTGAAAATATACTTGAGTAAATAAAAATATGTTTTTAAGACAGCAATAAGAACGAGTTGAAATTATTTTTTATATGAATTTAATCTCAATTATATCCTTATCGTTAATTGATTGACCTAAACTATGAGAAATCGAATAAATTTTTCCTCCATATTTTAATTTGATCCTAAATATGTCTTTACTGTTAGTAGACTAACGTAGATTTGCTGTCTGTTTTAATTTGATCCTAAATATGTCCTTATAATTAGTGGATTGCATTAAATTTTCTGACTAAAGTAAGCCGATCTGCAGTAGTTGTAGGAAATAACTTTGGTGAGCATGTGCACAGGTTGGATAGGCACGTGTCAGCTGCAGGTGGGTCCCCACGTACTTTTCTTTTTTGGTTTCTCATTTGGTGCTTGGTACTCATATTAGAGTCAACTAAATTTGAATTCGCACTGAAAAATTTCATATTAAGAGGTAAAGCGCTCTCTAAATGTCAAGTTACGCCTCTCTACTTGGATGTAAAATGTGTAACTTTAAAAAGCTCCCCTTAACTTTTTCCATTCTATTATTTTGTATCACAATTTGAACAGCCGTTTGATCATGAAAATTAAAAAGGAAATCATTTTATTTGAAATTTTTAAAGTTAAAATTGAAGTTATGGTCCTAGATTGAATTTCATCGACACTCAAATAAATATAGTAACCTTAAATTCAACAATTTCAACAATTTTTTTTATTTTTTATTTTTTTTTCGATACATCACGAAAATGAGTAATTGATTAATAAAAAATATGAAAAATATGAAAATGACTTTATGCTGAATTTTTAGGTTATATTTTTTATATTTTTGTTGAATTTGTTGAAATTGTTGAATTTAAGGTTACTATATTTATTTGCGAATTTTTGGCGTTAATTTTTTTTCTCCATATTTTTCCTAGTTTTTATTAGTCAATTACTCATTTTCGGGATTTACCAAAAAATTTTTGTTGAAAACGGGTCAGGTAGTTTATTTAAAAGGGAGGTATATCTAGACTTTTTCGAATAGTTTAGGGGTATATTTGACCTTTTTCCCTTTAATATAAATGTCACATGGTAATGTAAAAATGACGTGGCAATTCCATTTGGCATTTAACGCCCATAAGGGCATATCTAGACGAAAAGTTGGACGGCGAGGGCACGAGTGAGCCAAACTTTAAACGGGGTATATCTAGTCCTTTTCGAATAGTTTAGGGGCATATTTGACCCTTTTCCCTATAATATATTTGTATATTTGTTACAATGTGATAATTCTTGTTATGCAAAAAATAAAAAAAAACTTATGTCACTCCATTAACTATATCAATCTGTATTGTGTGCTTTGTCCTGCATTCTGGTTGTCCATATGTTAATTGAAATATCATTCTAGTCTATGTTCTATTGTCGCGGAATTAGACCTGCTATTAACGTCAGCTTATGTGTGTCTGTTACTCACTTAAGTACCTCCTATTCAGCAAATTTGGAACTCGTTGGACGACGGTAGATTAATGTCTTGTCATCACCATCCTCAAAATCAAGTTCATCCTCATTGTAGTCCATTTCCTCTACGATTTTTTCATCGTTGTAACTCTCTTGGTTTTCGGATGACTTGACTAGTGAATATTGTCCGGTAAGAGATGAAGGATCCAAGCTTAAGAGTTGCATCTCGGATTCGATCAGAGCTTCCATTTGAGCCTTCTCCTTATCCCTTGGATAGGTGCAATAAAGAAAAGAGTAAATAACACAACATAGTGCCATTGGAGTTCCTATTGCAGTGAACAACGCCTTCGCCAATGACGTAGCATTTTCTCTGTCTGTAGAAATACTATCAGCACCTTGAGTTACTGGCATATAACCATAAACATCCTGAGCCAGTAGACCAACAACAGGAGGAGCAAATGATGATAATACGGATTCAAAAGATCTGTCCAGAGCATAGACACTTGTTCGCGCCTTCTCGTGTACTATCTCTGCAAAAATTGGACTGTTGGTGTCTCTTTTAGTACCCTCTGCAGTTTTTTCATCATAAATGCAACAAGTGGACAAACAAGTAGTATTTCTTTTACTTTTTAGGCATAATACATAAATGGACACTCAAACTTGGTCTCAATAACCACTCGAACTTTGACAATGCACATCTAAATACCTCAACTGACAACTAAACACTCCAACCCAACCCCATTCTATCTCGTGGACACCTGGCGTTGACGTATCACATAAATTTTTGTAGATGTCTGAATGATCATTTAGTAAGTTGGAGTGCTTACTTGTCTGCTGAGGCCGAGTTTGAGTGTCTGTTTTATGTATTATGTCAAATTTTGACGATGTTACACTAACTTGTAAAGTTAATGAATACTTAAAAAGACAGAGTAAAGTTAATGATCATTTACTTGTTTGTAGCTGGTGCAGTCCAAGATATGAAAAATCCAGACACAAACAAGACCAAACCATGCATGAAAATTGATGAAGGATCATCAGGCAAAGCAAGCAGAAGAATTGCTGCAAGTGGAATAGCTGTTCCTGAGCTTATTTGTGCCAAAATTATCCTTCCACTATTAGGTAAACTCCGCGATAAAACGTCTCCCATTCTTCCTCCAAACAAACTCCCAATGGAATCACCAACCACAAACAAACTAAGAAGAATAGCAGTCTCCACATGAGTAAATCCAGTAAGTTCTAACCACATTGGAGCAAATGACAAAGCTGACCAAGGGAAAGATCCCATAACACCTTGAGCTACAATAATCTGAAAAGACGGTATCTTTACGACTGATTTTGCTTCTTCAAGTAGACCTTGAACTTCTGATATAAAGGAATAGGAACTTCCATGAACTTTACTACTAGATCTTAGATTATCATCTGGGAAATGAGGATCAGTCGCGAATAAACGAACTAGAATGCCAACAACCACACTAATCAAACCAACAAGATGAAATGAAAGTCTCCAGCCAGGAATTCTCATGAATGTTATAGGAGCAATCAATAAGGAAACATAACCACCAACAAGTGAACCAATGTTGCTAGTGAATTGCAGCCATCCGAATGCCATTCCGCGGTTATTTTCATCACAAGAGTCAGCTACTAGTGATTGAATAGCAGGTGAAACTATGGCTAATCCAATCCCATTCAAAGCTCTTGACACTGCCAACTTACCAACAAAAAAAGGATGTCATGAATTGCTTAATTTACCTACAACTATATGTATACACTCAGTAGTAGCAGAGCCAGAATTTTCATTAAGGAAATTCAAATATAAAGAAGTAAAGGAATTTCAACATCTATTATATATACGTAAATTAACTTTGACCTTATATATACAGTGTAACTTTAATACGAAGGGAGTTTTGAACCCCCTCGCGCCCCTAGCTCTATCAATGCATACAAGTATAAGTGCCAAACACATAATCAATTAAATCACTTTCTCTGTTTCACTACAATTTAGACATTTCAACTTTCACAAGTACAATAACTTCTACTCTATCCGTTTCATTTTACGTGATGTTTTTTGATTGGATACAAAAGCTTAAGGTGTTAAAGAGAGCAAACATCGTATCAAAGCCACGTGTGAATAGTTTAACGAATTCAAATTATCAAAAATAGAACAAGATCAAACTTTTTTGTAACGTCTAGTTTCCAAAACAGAACAAGTGTGCCATATAAACTAAAACATGAGATAGTAGCACTCTACTTGAAAGAAGGTGGTGGAGAAAGCGACGAGAAATGTAGCTGCAGCCCATAGAAATGCACCATAGGCAATAACATGAGCCCGATTGTGGCGTGCAGCTAGATAAGCCGCGATAGGATAACACGCGGACTGGACCATGGACCGGAAGAGCGTGAGTGAACCTAAACCGGTTGGGTCCGTATGGAGTGCATCTCCAACTTCTTTATAGACTCCTGGTAACAATGACTCATCTGCTTTTTCCATAATACCTGCTAAATTAACTAACACAAGAGTAAGTGTTTCTACCTTCATTTTTTTCTTGATTTTTGTTATGGACACTATACATTCATGAAGAACAAAAACAAATCAAAATTATTTTATACAAAATTATTTTACAAATATTTTGGATAACAAATCATTTTAGTTTCTTTTTTTAAGTGTTCAAAGAGAATAGGGCCAGAAATTGGAGCCTAGATTAAAAGGTAGTTGAAAAATGATGGTTAGGGAAAAAAGACCAAGTCCCAATTGACTAGGACAAAACAAGATTATATTGCCTCCATTCTAGCAAGCATTATAGGATCCATAGTGTTCTACTTTCCATCAATTGAAGTTGGCTAATTGAATTTATTTTTTTGGGTAAATTGTTACACCTTATGTCTCAAATTAGTTATCACGTTTTGCTTCTCGAGAGTCAGACTGTGTGAACTTTGATCAATATTTTAAAATGTATTTCTTAAATTGAATTGACTTGAGAAAAGATACAACTTGTAGTACTTCTGATATGGTTATTACAACAACAACATATCCAGTGAAATTCCACAAAGTGAGGGTATGAGGAGGATAGAGTGTACGTAGGTCTTACCACTACATATGACACTACCTACCAAAGGCAGAAAGGTTGTCTCTGAAAGACCCTCAGTTCAAACAAATCAAAACAGTAATTAAAAAAACAGTAGTGGACAAATCAAAGCAGTGTAGAGCATATATGCAAGGAACCGTAACATAACAACAATAGGATGCAATCACCTAAATATAATAAGCCACTTATGATATTTGATACAATAAGTAAAAACCGACATGAATAGGCTAATACTATGACAAACACGATGGTCTATATACCACCAGGTCAAAAATATG